CCATTTTTAAAAGCTCAAACTCTTTTTCTTTTTCGAAACATTATTTTACACCCCCAACCATAGAACTCACATATAACAGCTAGAACTAGAGGTATTTGTGACCTTATTCTAAAAATAAACCGTCTTATTATATATATACAAATCTCTTGAAGAGAAAAATACTGGGGGGTGTCCTATCAATATACTCGTCCTCCCCAGCGGTCTCCTCATGTCATAGCTTGTGTTTAGGGATTTAAGCTAATAATCATCAAGATCTTGCAATCTTGCATCACATAAATTGAAAGAGTTTATACCATTCTTTATTTCCAAACTTCTTACCCTTTCTACAGGGTGAATAACATATTCTAGCAAGCTAGTGAAATAAGTGGAATGATCATATACGATATGCCTACAAGTTTCAACTAGGTGTAGAATAACATCCTTTCCATCCCTTCCCTTCTTGAGATGACAAGTTATTACTTTCGATCTCCATCCTCAACTCAATAAATGATTGGGATCCAATGGTTGTTAATTAAGTTGTTAATGTTTTACAGACTACTCGTTTCTCTTTTTATCATGTTTACAAAGTAACTATAATTTATAATGGAATCTATTTATGAGCATATATATAGCCCTCTGCTGGAGCACACTGTTTATTTTCGACGTGATATTTAGGGATCTACTTTAAAATTACCTAAAAAGTATTTGATCAATTAGATCTAACCGTCCAAAAATTAAACCAATCTTAATATGTTATTTTTTCACTCACAGAGTGTGCATGAGGATTTTCCTCTTTCGAAATTGGTTGTTTGGTTGAAGACATCATATCCTCAAAGTGTAGATTCCTGGTAATATTTTTCGATAGAGTTTTACCTGAGGGAGTAATTGACAATGTGCTGCCACTGAAGTATATAATCTTTTGGCAACTATGATCTATGCCCTGCCATTGGTTAAGATTTGGAAGTCAATATTGTTATATGAAATAATTCCAACGGAAAAATGATGAAAAAAATAAAGGAACAAATGATCATGTTGAAGTGTGTGACATCATTGAGCATGGTCTTTTTTTCTTATGCTTCTTGCAAATCTTTTTTTATCAATATCCATTCTGTTTTACTGATTTTCATTGGAAAATGACCTTGGATTGAAGTTGGAGACCGTACATAAATCATGTCATTAGAGTTTAAGTTCACGGCGATTGAGTGTTTTACTTTTAAGATCATTTGATTTTGGTATAAGCACGTCATGATCACCCCTCAGCGTTAAATGTGAAATTAGCTTGAAGGGTATCACAAAGTTTGACTTATTTATTTTTTTTCTTTCTTTTTAGTAGACTATGAACTAGATAAATGACACAAATCTAGCTGCTTGATTTCGTTATAAATTCCTTGCATAAAAAATGAATGATCTTATTGTATACTTTCTCAAGAAAATATTGTCTTCACTTCCATGTATTTATTGACCTAGAAATTCTATCCATGTATTCAGTGACCTATAAATTCTATATACAAAAATATCCATATACCTCCTAGGAGCTACTCATATCAAATATCATCTCTTTGGGGACATCCATTGATATTGGAACGATACTCATAGCCAATGTCCATAGTCTATGTTTGTCAAAGGGCAATGCGGGATGAGTTGTTCCCCGGTATTATAGCTACCCCGAGTTTTAGCAAGTAACCCAACGGCCTGTTTAGATCCTCCATAAAAGGTAAAAAATTGTTTGGAAAAAACTATTTCTGGTAAAATATCCGTTTTTGTAAAAAAACATTTCATGTAAAAATAAATTTGTACGTTTCGAATAGCATTTAGATACAACCTAGGAGATGCATTTCTACCTAAAAAGGGCGGGGGAGGGAGTTTACTTAGAGAGAGAGAGATATTAGGGGGTTGGGTTAGCATACAGACAGAAATGTGCAGAGGTTACCCCTTTTTGTTCGAGTCACAACAAGCTATATGTTCATTTTTTATATTTTTTTATTGGCTCTATAAGAAATCTGATAGGAAAATTAATTTTTTACCTTGTGGCGAGAAAAATAATTTCTCTAGTCTGGGCTCAAAATAGAGAAAAAAGAATTTTTTCTAAAAACAATTTGCCCCAGATTTTGGATCCAAATGATGGAAATGGACAATTTTGGTGAAATACCCATTAAATCCATTGTTAACCATTGCATGTGGAGCCATATTCTTAGAATACCTATATCTACAACTAGTACAATAAGGTGGTTTTTGTTACACCGAGGGGATAAAATAATATTTGGACAAGCTTTCTATGCTTTCCCTACAGCATAAAACTTCTATACTTCCTCCTATCTAACCGTCCGATGGCTTAGATAACCCAATCACAGTGTCACCCTCTATACCAT